GGCGGCTGCTCCAGGTGGCCAGGGGCGGCTGCTGCAGGGGCGGCTGCTCCAGGGTCCAGGGGCGGCTGTAGGTGCGGCTGCTCCAGGGGCCAGGGGCGGCCGTCCCAAGGGCGGGCGCGAGGTAGGGCAGGGCGCCGCGGCGAGCAGGGGCGACTCCGCGCGGGTCCCAGTGGCGACGCGCGGGTCGCGCGGGGGCGTCGCGACGAGGCAGGGGCGACGCGCGCGGGTCCTGGTGGCGACGCGCGGGACGCGCGGGGGCGTCGCGACGAGGCAGGGGCGACGCGCGTGGGTCCCGCAGAAGCGCCGCGACGAGGCGGGGGCGACGCGCGGGTCCCGCAGGGTCGTCGCGACGAGGCAAGGGCGACGCGCGGGTCCCGCAGGGGGCGTCGCGACGAGGCAGGGGCGACGCGCGGGTCCCGTAGGGGCGTCGCGACGAGGCAGGGGCGACGCCGGGTTCCCGCAAAGGCTTCGCGACGAGCAGGGCGACGCGTCGCGGGGTCCAGGGGCCGCGCCTCGGGGTCCAGGGGCGGCTGCGCGGGCGCAGAGCAGGCCCGCGCGCGGCCTGCAGGGCAGGGCGACAGGGTGGCGCTCGAGGGCGCGAGTAGGCAGGCGCGCAAGGGCGCGAGTAGGCAGGCGCTCGAGGGCGCGGGTAGGGGCGCACGACGGCGCTAGAAGGGGCGCTCGACGGCGCTAGTAAGGGCGCTCGACGGCGCTAGAAGGGGCGCTCGACGGCGCTAGTAAGGGCGCTCGACGGCGCGGGTAGGGGCGCACGACGGCGCGAGGTACTATCAGACACGGTCGCGCAAGGTCGCGGCGGAACGGTGGGCCCTAACCAACGTCGGTCCTAGGTCCTGACCTAGGCGTCGGATACCATGTTAGAATGTAGAACTGAACGAGAATGGATGAACTAGGCAGCAGGGTGATACAAGTAGGAAACCCTAGCAATGTTTTACCCCCTAAGGCTAAACCCACTATAGCCTACACAATATAAACATGTATAATGTTTGACAAGCGCGTGAGAGAGCGTGCTAGTGAGCGCGTGAGAGTGCGCGGGAGAGTGCGCATGAGAGAGTGCATGAGAGTGCGCGCGAGAGAGCACGCGAGAGAGCGCGGAAGAGTGCGCGTGAGAGAGCACGTGAGAGTGCGCGCGAGAGAGCGCATGAGAGAGCGCGTGAGAGTGCGCGTGAGAGTGCGCATGAGAGTGCGCGTAAGAGTGCGCGTGAGAGAGCGCGTGAGGGAGCGGATGAGAATGCGCGTGAGAATGCGCGTGAGAGTGCGCGTGAGAGATTGCGTGAGAGAGCGCGTGAGAGAGCGCACGAGGGTGCGCATGAGGGTGCGCGTGAGTGTGAGTGCGAGAGTAAGTGCGATGGAGACTGCGATGTTGAGCGCAAGTGTGATCGCGGGTGTGAGTGCGAGGGTGTGTGAGATGGTGTGTGCGAGGGCAAGTAGGAGAGTGAGTGCAAGTGTGAGTGCGAGGGCAATTGTGAGCGTGAGTGTGGGTATGTGTGTGAGTTGAGTTTGAGGGTGTGGGCGACTTTGTGTGCGTGTTTTTGTGAAAGCGTTCGAGTGAGTTCGAGAGTGAGCGCAAGCGCGAATTTAAAGGTGAGTGCGAGGGTGTGTGTGTGTTTCTGTTAGTGTGTGTAAGAACGGCTGAAATTAATTATGTGACGTGAGTTGTTGCGAGAGTGAGTACGAGAGAGTGCGAGGGTGCGAGTGCGGTTTTGAATCCGATTGCAAAGGCGGGTGTGAGTGCGAGAGTGAGTGCGCGCATGCACTCGAGGGTGAGTGCAAGGGTGCGTGTAAGTGTGTGTATGGGGGTGAATGTGACAGCAAGTGCGAAGATGAGTGCTTGGGTGAGCGCGAGGGTGAGAATGAGAACAAGAGCAAGCGTGAGAGCAAGTGCGAGAGTGAATGTGACTGCAAAAGCGATGGTTAGTGCGAGCGAGCGTGAGTGACAACGCTTATGAGTGCGAGGGTAAGTGCCAAAGTGAGCGTGTAGGTTCTTATGCGTGTTTATATGAGTGTGTCTAAGAAAGTTGGGAGTATTTGTGCGGGTGTGAGTGGGTGCGAGAGTGAAGTGTGAAGTTGAACATGAGGGAGGCTGCAAGGGATCGCATCATGCTGGCGTAGTATCTGTGGTGCCACGACTGATACCAATTTACCTTTGTAAGTTGTGAAAACCATTGCTCATTTTTTATTGATCCATGCGTTCTTAAACAGCTCTTTCTATTGTGCTTGTTTCGTCTCTAGTGCATGTGTGAGCTGCATTCTCTGTTTTTGTTCTCTTGTAGCAATGCTGTGAGGTGTACTCTTGGTTTTTTCTTTCTTGTGCAGGGTATGTGTGTTGCATTCTCTGATTTTGCTTTGTGCAGGGCGCGGGAGCTGCATTCTTTAATTTTGATTGGCGGAGAAGGGAGATGAGGGAGGCAGTGGGATGGGAGGGATATGAGAGGGGGAGGGAGGGAGGGAAAGAGGGAGGGAGGGAGGGAGGGAGGGAGGGAGGGAGGGAGGGAGGGAGGGTTGTAGGGAGGGTAAGGGGTAATTGGCTAGCGATGATTTATGAATAGCTGAATTTCATGATGGTTGCGTGTTTATTATTAACTGCATGTTTCTGTGCTTGTTTGCGTGTGTGTCAGTGTGTGCGTTTGTATCGGTATGTGTGTACGTGTGTGTACGTGTGCTTGTGAGCCTGTGTGTGAGATATGTACAGTTGTTTGTGTCTGTCTCAAGGCGTGTGCTGAAGTGCCTCGTGTATGCAACTCAGGTTGTGATCGCCGGTGGGGCAATCGCCTTAGCGTGCCAGACCAATCTCTGTTGCATCATCGATGCATTTTAGCATTCTCCCCAAGACGCTTCAATTGTTATATATTGTCATTTTTTTTATGTGCTCGTTCATTTTTTTTGTAAGGTGTGATGTTAAAGTGTGTCGGGCCTGCAATTGAGGTGGGGATCGTCGTTGGGGCAGCGTTGCTCGCCTTAGCATACCGGATCCATCGCTATTGTAGTACCGATGCATTTTAGCATTCATTTTATTACAGTCACAGTTGTCATGTGTTGTCGTTTTTGTACGTGTTCAATGGATGCCAAGTACCGTAATTTGCATCCACTGTGTTTCGTCTCGTCAGTTCTGCTTTATGTAGGTAAAAAACATGACCAATTCTTCCAGTCGCCGTATTTATCGACGATTATGGAATGATTGGTTACATTTGGTTTCACCTTTTTTGGAGACTCGTATGTATCAGTGCCGTCATCTCGACGTGTTTAGAGCACCCGTTTTTAAAACGTTAAATCGAGTGCTTCGGGCGTTGGGAAAAAAGACAAAAACTGCACTGTTCATTTGAGTCGACCAAAAAAAGTGCTACCAATTGTAAAGGGGTTGCTACGCAACCCAAAAACCAGACTGTCAGAAGCCTAAGTTGACTTAGGACTTGGGTTGAGGGTAGAACGAGAGTTACGAGGGGAAGGGGTCGAGAGATTAGCCAAAAGAGGTTGTTCACTATAGAGCGAGCAGTACAAATAGGCAAGAATCAAGAAAGGTGCACCACCAAACAAGAACATAGGGCTACACTAGGTCTACACTACAGGCAGTTATAGTAATGTATACAAGTACATTCTGACACAGACTTGTATTAGTGAGCACTAAGGGATATTTTGAGGATGCGAGAATGTCGGGAGTGAGTTGAGTTGAGTGAAGTGGATCAAGAGTTCGTTGCCAAAACTCGTACTGAGAGGGAAATGTCGGGTCTAACAATTTACCGCGCCTGTATGTTAGATGGTACGTAAGTGTACTCACAAGTTTCCGCAGAGCTATCCATCCTATGTTCGGGGAATATTGCAGCAATGTCATTCACATCATAACCAAGGCATGGCCTGAACTGGTCCCCGTTTTTCCTGGCTAACCTAGGTGAAGATAGCCTAGGAGACTGAATTGTTTAATACGTATTTACGACCCCTCATAGAAGAGCTCCTTCACAAAACGCTTATTGGACTAGCTAGCAAACGTGTGATTGAAAACTCAAGAAAATCAAGATGCTCGACAAACGGGGTGTGATTCTTCTTCATGGCATTCGCACCAGGGTCATGGAGTTCCAGATTAGTCTGACGAAACAGACTGTCTAGGCACTAGAAACTGCCGTGACGAAAGGGCCCCGCATCTGAAAATGGCAGCAGGGTCTATTGCTGCAGCATGCCATTGTTAATGGCTGCTGTGTCAGTTGCAACACTGTCTGTTGCTGGTGACCCATTGGAGCTATGTCTGATGCTACTGTGACGATAGCAGTAGTGCCCGTTATTGTCACAATAGCAGTCGTGTCTGATGCTCCAGAGTGGTACAGAAAGTATGAAAAGACAACCTTGAGGTATCAGAGAGACAAAAAACCACTCATATAAAATGAAAGAACCAGAGTTGATTACTACAATTTAGATCTACAGTCAGTCAGACACATTCTGTCATTCTCATCCTGTTGGTGGGTCACATCCAGGGCTGATTTTATCATGGTAATTACCCTGATTTCAGGGTGATTTCAGCCTTCTCACCTGCTGGTCCCTGTGAAATCAGGTTTTTCACAATTTGGTCCCTGATCCATTCAGAGTATTGGTTTAGCGGACCCTGAAATTCTCTGTACACTCTCAGTGTAGTGTTTTCCTGGACCCTGTCAATACAGAGTACGCGACATGTGGACCCTGAAAGCGATGTTATCGGGACGAATCTTCCCCACCATGTGGGTAATTATGATTTCACACGTAACCATGTGGGGGATTCGTTTCACGCGCACAAGTGACATAATACCGACAGAGAACACAACTGTCCTTTGTACAGCATCGATGTATAGCACAGCTGTCAAATTTGACAGCGCAACTAGAATCATCATATCTACTGCCACGCGCACCGCGCGTAGCACAATACGTGTCCCTCATTGGCGGGAGACACATAGTGGCAGTCGTCGCTGGCAGTGAGGCAGTCGTTCTATGTGTTCGGCCTGCATGAAAGGCCGAATACAATGACGGCTCGATGTTTCGACCACCGCGCCACCAATTTCGTGGCGACGCGGTGGATTCTTGCTGACCCCACCTTCTCCCTCCATCTCTTGCTTCTCCCCTCCCACAGCCAGGGTCTTGTTGGTGCTGCTGTTATGTTCACATTGTTCAATTCCTTTCTCCGTTTCTCTCTCTCCCCATCTCTAGCTTCTCCCCGCCATGGAAGGCCAGCAGGCTGACGAAGACTCGCCCCAGGTTGGCTCAGATGAACCACCGTTACCGCCGAAAGCCACGGAGGAAACTTTGCCAGAGAAATCTTCTGATGCCCGTCGCTCGGGGCTTGATTTTCTTAGAGGTTCCGCTGCTCCAGTAACACCTGATCCACCTAGGTCTACTGTAGATGATTCTGCAGTTAAAGATACGCCCACACCCGAAGAGTATCCCCGTGTGGCCGCCTTCACTCTACCCCCGGCTGTTGCTTCTTGCAGCAAAGATCCCCAACCGGCCGCGCCAAGTCCCACACCAAGCACCGTGCGGGTGTCTGTTGGTCCTCCGTCGGCTACCTCCACCCCGAAGAGAGCGCGTTCAGGGAAGTGGGCGCAGCATACCCTGCTCATCGGAGGCCGCCGTCTTTCAGGTTCGAACGCTCCGGCTGATCCACCACCTGATGAAGCTGCTACTCCAGAGGAAGATGTGTTCCCGATCCGCGCGGACACCGGCTCGCCCGCCCTCACCAAGGCGCAGCTGTGGGAGCAGATGTACCTGGAGGCCAGCATCATGTACGATACGAGGTGGTCGGGATAGTTCTCTTGGCTTGTGTTCGGGAAAACCAAGGAGGGGTTTCCCTATGTGAAGTGCAGCGTCTGCATGGCCTACGGGAAGGAGAACACGAGGTACGCGAGGCAGGGTGATGACGGTGGCCGTGACATGCAGACGCGGGCGTTTCGAGCACACGAGCACACGGACGCGCACAAAGCGGCTGTTGATCGGCAGCTGAAGATTGCGAGGGGCATCCGCGAGGGGCAGCAAGTGATTTCGAACTTCATCAACTCGGACGTCGAGGGCAGGCGCGCTGTCCGACTGTTGCGGTCGGTTGTGTTTCTGTGCAAGTGCGACGCGCCGATAAGCATGTACCCGAAGCTGATGCGGCATCTCGCGGAGCAGGACACGCCCGACATCCCGAGACAGTCTTACGGTGTCTATCTCACACGGTAGGACCTTTTAGTTACACACTTGCTGGATTGATTGCGTTCAAAGAAATACTTTTTCACTAGTTACTAACTAGTTGACATACATCCATGCGCAGGTACGGCTTCCAGCAGATGGTTCACTGCCTCAGTACCTACTTGACGAATCAGCAGATGGACCACATCAACTCCTCCCCGTTCCTGGGCCTGAGCTGCGACGAGGGCACTGACCAAACGCGTGGCAAACACATGATTGTTTACCTGACCTTCATCAAGGACCGCCGAGTCGTCACCGAGTTCTTCACCCTTCTGAATGTGGAGAAGTGTGATGCTGCGTCCCTGCTCGAGGTGCTCATGAATCATCTGCGCTCCGCAGCCGTCGACTTGTCCAAGCTTGTCGGAATCAGTACGGACGGGGCTTCGGTCATGACGGGGAAGGACAACGGATTGGTGGCGCGGATTCAGGAGCACGTCCCGCATCTCTTTTCCTGTCACTGCATCGCGCACCGGTAAGATTTACTGCCAGTTATTGATCCAGTTCATTTTGCTTGAATGTTTTCTAATCAACATTTTTTTACGATGGGTCTTGCAGGGAGGCGCTGGCTGTTAAGGACGCGGCGACGTCCAACCCCGACCTGGGCATGGTGGACAAGGTGGTGCGCACCGTGGCGGCAAAACTTGGAGATTCGTCAGTCTGGAGCCAACGCTTCAAGTACCTGCAGCGTGTGATCTACAACACTAACCTCGAAGTCCACGGGATCCACACGGTTCGCTGGCTGTCACGCGGAGATGCGGTGCGTCGGCTGTGCAAGGTGCTCGGTGCGTGTATCGTTCTTCTCTGGGAGAGGGGTCACAAGGTGTACGAGATTGTCACGTGCTACAAGTTCCAGTTCTGCCTGTTCTTCCTCGCCGACATCCTCGCCGACATGAACGACCTCAACCGCTGTTTCCAGAAGCGTGATGTGAGTTTGTTGAGTCTTCCGCGAAGAGGCCTCTTCTAGTGTCTATATTTTCTTGTGTGTTGGATGTAACCTGACATGTCCTGTATGACTGTGCCGTTACAGATTGATGTGACGGAGATTGCCAAGACCATCGAGGCTACCACGGCGGATCTGACGGAGCGGTATTTGCATACCGACAAGCAGTTCGGTGGCGAGGGCAAGTGCTGGCTGGTCGGCTTTCTGAAGCTGTACGGGAAAAGTGGAGGCAAGAAGGTCCGTGTGAGAGGCGTGGACGGGGAGGGACGCCCAATCAACCATCTGTACACCATGCACGAGAGGAAGCTCCCGGGGCACAAGGTCGGGAGTGGATACGAGGAGTGCGTGAAGCTGTGCCGCAGTTTCGCCCGCGATTGCGTGGACAATCTCAATGAGCGGCTTGATGACCTGGGGAAGTTGGGGCCGACGAAGCTGTTTCGGGCCGCAAAGTGGCCGAAGATCAAGGCTCAACGGGAGAAGAAGTGCCGTGAGTGGCTTCTGGGATGCAGCAAACTCTTCCGCCACAAGCTGCCGGGATTCGACCTCAAGGCCGCAGAAAGGGAGCTTCCCACATTCTGTGCGATCAAGGAGGCGCACCACGAGCTGGAAAGCTTCACGCAGGGACTGACCAACATTCTCGGGAGCGCAGACCCGAAGAGGTATGTCCCTGTAGTGTGACAGCATGGGATGGGATGCCAAGCGGGAGCCGAATGTATTTTGTGCATGTCGTAACTCTGTTTCACTCCCGTCTCCGTGAATGTGCCTGGCAGGAGGTGGCCCAACCTCGTCCTCCTGTGGCAGGCGATCGCGGTGCTCCCCCTATCAACTGTGGAGTGCGAGAGAGGATTCTCCAGGCAAAATGTGATCAAGTCTTGGGTGCGCGGCGCTCTCTGCAACGCGCGGCTGGGGGAGCTGATGCAGATTTCGCTCCAGAATTACGACATCGAGTGGCCGGACGCCCTGGAGGTCTGGAGGTCTATGAGGAGGAGACGCCCCGCAAAGAGCGTGAAGCTTGTTGTGGCTGAGCGTGAAAGGAAGGGGAAAGCAAAGAAGGGTGAAGTCGGAGCAGGAGCTGCCCACCAAAACGACGGGGAGGAGGAGGAGGAGGAGGATGTGGAACAGGACCTGGGCGACGATCAGGAGCTTGTGGGGGAGGAGGAGGAGGAGGAGGACAACCCCTTTCTTTCGGACGATGAGGATGTGGAGGAAGTGTTCCACATCGATAGACCTGTGCACTAGAGTAGATAATGTAGGAGGAAATGTTTTACAGGCTGTACATTGGAGTAATCAACCAAGTGAGATTTGAACCCAGACCCTGAATTCAGGCTGTCGACCCTGACAAATCAGAGTGACTAGTTGTTGAACCCTGAGCCATCAGGGTGGCAATCTCCTGAACAATGTGCACTCATAATACAGAGGAAATTTTTTTACCGACATCAGGGAGCCCTAAAGTGAAACGTCAGCCCTGATCACATCTCCTACTAGCATGCATTGTATCGTGCTTGCTCGTTTCAAGTCACTTCCAACAACAAAGCCATTCGTGAGGAAATCCATTACACTGATTAACACAAGTAAATGACAGTTGATTCTCTGCTGAAAGGAAGAAAAGCTAATAACAACAAGTACATGACGTGGGTAATAAGTTGGTAACGTTCCAACTTTCACCTACCACCGCTTCTACTGATCTAGTATCGTGCTCTATCTTGAAGCGATTGTCCCGGGGATGCGAGTACCGCACCTCGCAATTCCCCCCTGCAATGATGCCCTTGACCTAGTCGCATCTTTCCTTGCAGCGCTTGGCCTTGTCCTTGCACTCCTTGTACTTGTCTTTGCACTCGCCCTTGTCCTCGTTGTTGTCTGCCTCGCTCTTGCAGTCCGAGTTCTTGTCCTTGCACTTTTTCTTCTTCTTGTCGCACTTCTTCTTGCACTCCGAGCTCGCTAGCACGCGGTGCACCTGCGGAGACCACAGGAACCGCCTGCCTCCGCCGAGAAGCGCGCCCAAGAAACCTGTGTTCGGAAAAAGGAGGGGAGGGGATAGTGGGTTAGAGATTAACAAACAAAACACGAGCCCGAAGAGGCAATCAAGGCGCGGCGAGTGCTGGTGGAAGGTGAGTTTGCGTGTGGTGACGATCTGACAACGAGGCGCGAATGCTGAACTGCGTGTGGACAATGTCCTCGGTACGTGGAACAAAATATAATGGGGGGTTCTTATCGGGCGAAGTTGAAACGAGGGCGTTGCCATCGTCAAAGTCGTCGTCGTCGTCGTTCACAATCTCATTCGCGTGGCACAGTGGCGCGAGCACGAGGGACAGGAGAAGCGAGAGCGCGAACAGCAGAGAGAGACACTTGAGGCTCTTCATGGCGGCTTGCACGTGAAACTCTCTGTGAGCGTTCTGGTCGATGCCGAAGATAACATAATGTATGAAGAGTGTTTCGAGGACAGGTTTGGTGACTATAAAAGGAAGTCAAGTAAGCTTATATAGTGATAGCTGGATGCAAGGAAGCTAGTGAAATTCGCGATCGTCGAGTTGGCCTGTGGGATCAGCTGTGGGTGCGCTGACTGGCTTGAGAAGGTGAAACGAGCGGGAATCCCATACCGCCGCAGCGACTCCATTGGGGGAGTAAGGACAGCGAGGGAATTTCTCGGCCTCAGACAAATTTCGAATCGCGCGCAAGAAATGTTTGATGTCTGACGGGACGCCTGCGTTTTCGCCAATACGAGAACCCCAGGGGCGCATTCGTGATAAAAAAGGGCAACACGAAGACTGGGCACTCTGATGAAATCCAAGTCAAACGCCCTGATTCAAACACTTCTGCAAGATATGGAAATAAGTACAGTACATGTTTGGAAGTCCCAAACACAACCTGGTTTTCTTTGTGCCAGTTCGCCAAACCCAATCTGCCTGAAATCCAGTCAGCAAGAGAACACAACGTAACGGGAAAATATGCCATTCGTAACCATCATGGGACTCGATAACATTTTTGGTAAACAAATAAAGGGTACGGTCACTGCAAAGGGTGTTTTCACGCGACTGATAAAACGTTTCACGTAATCAGTCACTATCAACTGGTAAAAAAAAACGCGAATGTCATAGATGAAACTCCCGCCAAAACAAAACGAAACCCAAAAAGAACCTGGATGCATTTTCGGATGAATCAACCCTAAACACGTAACTCGCCAGGTGTTTAGGGTTGATCCGTTCCCAAACCGCATCCGATTCCGATTGGGTTTTAGTTTTTTTACAAGTTAGCAGATTGGTTGGGCGCGAGCGGGAATTTTGTTGAGTCTCAAGTTTTTTTGGCGAGAGTTACATGTGTGACCATTCGCGTGATTTTTTACCTGTTGTTAGTGACTGAATCCATGACCCCACTTACCAAACCCGTCAGAAAACCCGGTACAGTGACCGTACGCATTTGCTTTTTACCATTCACGTTATCGAGTCCCAAGTTGGTTACTTATGGCTTATTTTCCCCAACGTAACACACCCTTGAACATGCCACGTCAACAAACGAAAACGATTCCAGTCCAGGGCCACCATAGATATTCTCGGTAACCCTTTTATATACGAGTCTTATTGTTTCACGTTATCAGGATGAATTTATTTCCTGTTGATTTTTGTTACGAACATTAAATTGAGAAAGAACATTGTGCACTCCTGACAGAAGCAAGCGAGTCATGCAGTACCGAGGCTGAAGACGAAAAATCGGAATGACGCGAATGGTCGTACGGTTACGGAGCATCTGGACCGTCAGGGCAGACAGCATCAGGCAACAGCATGGCGGGGATTCTTCCCGAACGGTTCGTAACCGTCTGGAGTCGCACGGTTGGATTTCGCTGCAATAAGGGAATGTACCCCTAATAGTAGATGGCTAGTTAGGTCGTTTCGTATTACACCTGTACTCTTATTTATACTAATGTATTTGCATGTTTTAATTATCTCAATCATTTTACATTCACTCTGATTTGAGGTCAAGGGCCCACCACTACCATACACACCTTGTGTGAACCTTCCTGAGGAGATCCTAGGGGCGATCTAACTTCTGATCTCAGCATGGTATGAGAGCGACTCGGGAATCCTTCGCACTGCCACCTCCGAAATATTTGGCGAACTAAGGTGGCGTCCGGCACACGCTCACGCGTAACGATGGCCGGAGGATCTGGAGGTCAGACAAATCTGTCCGCTGAATCGCAGTCCAACCCGGCTGCGACAAACGAGGAGACGACGAAAATTGGCACCGCCGCCCTCGCACAACTGCTTCAGCGACTCTCGACCCTGGAGCAAGGACTCCAGACATTGCGGAATGGCAACGCGGGAACATCTTCCCAACCCACTCAACCGGCCTCGAGCGGCCAAGATACCACCCCGCACACCTTCTCTCTCAACACGAATGGCTCAACACCCAAAACTCCCCGTCCCAGCGACGAAGCAATTCTCTCAAATCAATCAAGGTTTTTGAGCATATAAAAAATAAAGACAAGTGCCTGCTTCGACGGCAAGGACTTTTACACCCGGAGCTTCGAGCTGGAGCTGCTGCTTCAAAACGCGCAGATATTTCATTATTTCGACGGGAGTTACGCAGGACCCTCTGAAGACACCGTTGACGCCAGGACGCAGTACTACAGCGAATCGCTGATGCTGTATGGCGTTTTGTTGCGCAACATGTCGCCGGCGGAGCAATTGGGAATCGGTTCCTACAAGACCACCTCTGCTCCTGCACTCGACGCCTGGCGGCACCTCAACGGAGTATACCAACCGAACGATTCGGTTTCTTCGAACCGGCTGCTCCATCTAGGCCAACACCTACGTCAACCGTTGCCGGAGCTTACGCGATCAAATCACGAAATTCGGAAGTTCAATTTCCGAATATATCTTCGTGAATATTGTTCTCGCAGGACTCGGCCCAGAATGGCGACCCTGCAAGGCGCTTCTCCGGCAACAGGGCGCTATCTCGGAAGCAGCCCTCTGCGCCGCCCTTCTCGTCGAACAAAGAGACATGGATCAGCAACGACCTGCGCCGCGACGAGACCGGGAACGTCTCGCCTTCTACGCCGACAACACGGAAGAGCGACGACCGCGACGCCTCTACTGCAAAATTTGCAGAACCTTCGTGCACTTGGCGGAGCGATGCAAATTCCGCTCTCGCCCCCGCCAGACCAATCCGAGCAGCTGGTCCGGCCGACAAGATGCGAGGAACGACACGCGTCAAGCCCATGGCTATTAGCCCCCGTCACGCAACCTGAACCCAACGGTTCAGCACCAGCATGAGCTGCCGTCAAAACTTGCGTCTGCCCGCAATGTCATTGGGAACATGACAATGACGCAAACGAGCGGATTTCGCCGTCGCCGCGTGCGCACGCCGCCACCAGAGCCAGCACGCCATCCTATCGGGGCGTTTAGAGCTAACAACCCGTTCACTCACCGACGCGACTTCAGCGACGACAACGACCAGGATTGGAATCTCCCAATCCCGCTGCTTGAAAGCCCCCCGCACATACCTGATACGCGTGCGGCTCCTCTCGACTGGATATCGCGTAAACAGTTCCTGAAATTTGACACACCGCACATCGTCACGCCGCGACTGGCGCTGCTCGAGCGCGATGACAACAAAAGGTACAACACCTGGTACCTCGACAGCTGCTGCGGGCAGCACATGGTCGGCTCCAAGCATTTCGTCTCTAACGCCGTCGCGACCCCCACGGTTACCTACGTCACCGTGGCGAACAACACTCGTTTGCGCGCAAGTGCGCAAGGGATCGTCGTGCTGAAGGAGCACGGGAGCCGCACACACATCACGCTGAACGGTGTGTTAATCGTCCAGAATCTGCGCTTCAATCTCCTCTCAGCGGCGCAACTCATGGACTGCGGGGTGGAGCTCAACACCGACCTCCGCACACGTGACATCCTCCTACACTACACGGCGCCGACGAAGGGGCGCAGGCAGATCGGGCGGGCACACTCCGAAAACGGAGTTTATATCCTCGACTTCGACATCCCCGACTACAGCGGCGACACGGACGAGTTACTCGATCTCGTACGCTCCGCTTCGAGGAGATGCATCCATCAGACGCGAAACATCCAGATGGAAGACCCTGGGTGCCACATCATCCGCACCGTCGCGAAGTCGCGCTCCACTACCCCGGGCCTGATGGCATCTGCAGGGATTGCCACACGCCGACCACCTCGACAAGCGCCATCGCCGGACGCGGACTCGCCGCCATCGCCGAAGCAGAACGATAC